TACCAACACTTCCATCACTCCTTCTGCTGTCTTAACTACAGAGAGTATCAACTTGTCCAATACAACAACCAATTCAACAGTAAAGGTTAGCATATTACCAAGTACTCTATTCGTCTCTTCTGACCAAGTAATATCAACAGTAGTAAAAAAATCCAGTATGGATATGAATGTCACAGCATCAGTGAATTTCACAAGGAACTTTGCAGTGTCAATAACGCCATCGATTAATTTCACCATGTCTACGATAAATTCATCCCTAAATTACTCACTAATGGCGTCTTCGGTAACACCCAACTCTACTGTAATGGTGGTGAGTAGGTCTTCCTCGATATCTGTTCCATACAAGCCATGGACGAATGAGTTAATCCGCACCATAAACGTGACCGTCAAGATTTTCAATGAACGCTTTAGTGTCGATTTGATATCAAGTAACACCAGCGCGTACACTGATCTATCAAAGAGAGTGAGAAATGCGGTGAGTAAAACGAAAACAAATTAATACCTATACCGTTTAAGACAAATTTCGTATGAGTGCGACAAACTCCCTAAGGACGTGCCGTGACCGAAACGGTGATATATCCAAATATCTTTAGAAGTGATCTCGCATGCAATGATTGGTATAAAGGATGTCACAATGGACTACTTCGACGATACGGCGGACAATTTGTCAGGTGGCAAAACAAATCAAAGATAACGGCGGAAAATATATAGAGTTTTAGTGTTAGTCTTTTTTAAAAGCCCGAAATCTATCAATTATGGGCGAAGGCGATCGATGTGGCGTCTTAATTCATCTATTGTTGTATTTTCTTGTGGTGAGCTATTGATGTCAATCGACGTCATTACTGTAACACAGATTCATTTTGCCCCTTGACGCCCTTATGCATAGCGATCCGAGATGGCCACCGTATCGTCGAAGTAGTCATTTCCGTATCGTCACGGTGCTGTCACGTCTTAACCCATTTCAGACGTGTTATAGTACCCAAACATTCCCAGTTTGAAGTAAATTTGATAAAGAAATGGATACCAAAACAAAAACAAAACTGGTGAACATTCGAGCGCATTAAACATGAGCCCTTGGCTCGGGAGAATTGGGTAACCACTCCCCGCGTTATCCAAGAAAAAAATAAATTACTTTTTTTTAACAAAGAAACAGAAACGAAAGGACAATTACCATTCTATCCGTTCGGATAAAAAAGTACAAAAATTTTCGTAAATTCGATTAAACGCATTTATATTCATTGTTCATATTATTTCCTTTATCTCTATAGTTTGACCGTATCTTTTCCGAACAACCAGGATACATTAACATCACCGATATCAAGTTCAGGTGAGAAATTAGTTGCGGCATTAGTAACCCTTCCCAAAAACGACAGATTTGAAAGCACTGGCTTACAGGTTCATGGATGGGCGGCGAAGAGGGAGACACTGGCCTCAGAGAAAGCCAACTACGCATGCGGGTTCCGTCTCAAACTTACCTTGATGGGATGCGAGGCTTATATTAAAACAAACGAAATGCCACAAATTCCAAAGAGAAAAAGTGTGTTTTGTTTTGTAAATTCATTATGCCGCGCCAAGATAATCTATAGAGGGTCTATAGTGACGACCAATTTCATTTTCGGTTGTCTGTACGCAAATCTTTCGATAAGTTTTATTATTATACATTTTACTAAGCATCTCAAATCTGATTGGTCGAGAGCCTTCAGCCAATCCCTGATATCGTGCGAACTCGACATGATAAATGTATTATCTGTAGGTTTTCCTACAGATAATACATTTATCATGTCAAGTTCATTCAAGGTCACGCTGTGGTAGCTTTGTTTTTATTTATTATGTGTATTTATTTCCAGAATTATGTACAAAAACAATTATTTAAGGAATCCTTAACTTATTTTCATATATTTCATGAAGAATTCTTAAAATATTTCTAAATTAAAAATTTTGCGATTTTCACGCTACATCATAGCATTCATAATTCTTGTCTCTATAATTTAATGTTCATGTTTATGTTTTTCCAGTATACAATATGTATAATAAAGCAATTATTGGAYTCGCTATCGCATGATATCGTAAATATCAAGACCTTGGCTGTGTTATCTGCCTCAGCCTTCGGCTTCGGCAGATAACACAGCCTCGGACTTGATAATTTACGATATCATGCGATAGCGAATCCAATAATTGCTTAATATAAGAAAACGTAAAGTTGCAGACAAATAAATATTAAGATTTTTTTGCCATTTCGACAGTAACGGGAGTGTTGTGGTTAACTTCCAAGCGAACTTCAACTTAACTTCAAATATGACTGCACTGGATGCGAAGACAGAGATTATCAATCGAAATGGAAGCAGAAACATTGAAAATTTTATCTTTTCAAGTGATGTAAAAGCATTTGGTATGTAGAGGTGATGTACATTTGGGACTGTGTTAAAAAATATTGAAACTCTTTCTGATTGCCTTTGTTATATCATAATACTCATAAGGATACTCAATAATAATTTGTAAAACGTCCCCAATTCTTTTTTCATTTTCTTCTTCTTTTTATGTTATAAATTTAAATTCAAACACACAGAAAAAAGATATATAAAGTGTATTTTTTTCCAGTCCCTTTTTCCCTTTAAACTGACCAAGGAAAATTCTACAAAAAACGAAAAGAACACAAATGAGAGAATGCGAAAAACAAAAAGTTTAAAAATATTAACCATTTTTTGAATAGAAAATTGCAGCACAAGCTATTGTCTTCGAGGTAACTGTCAGATGAACAACGTAACAGGAGCCTATTGCATGTAAGTTATTTTATGCCTCAGTAAAGCAATAAATGTAAAACTTTTCATATCGCTGGTTTTCAATCATTTCTAAGAGAATAATAATAACCAAAGACACGGCAGCCATGTTGGATGATATAACAACAACAACAACAACAACAACAACAACAACAACAACAA